GGGTCACCATGAAACATGCCAAGTTCTGCCCGGTCCAACCTGACCTCACAGCCCTGCCCAGGACAAGCCACCCCAGCCCCTGGTCTCTGCTGCTCAGAAGCCCCTGGTACATGCACACAATGTCCATCCCGAAAGCCCCATGCACACAATGTCCATCCCGAAAGCCCCATGCACACAATGTCCATCCCGAAAGCCCCAGTCGGCGCCGGTCCTCAAGGCCCACCCCACCTCCCTACCCCTCTCAGAAGTTTCCCCACAGCCTGGGGCAGCTCCTCCTTCACCCTCCCCAGCCAGACACTGAGCTGCGCAGGAGACGGAGGCCCAGCCTTCCCTTCCCAGCTGTGAGAACTTGGGCAGGGCACTTAGCCTCTCTGGGCCTCAAAAAAATAGGGATGATAATCACCAGCCGGGCCTGATTTGCAGGGTCACTGCGGGCATCTCAAGCAGCTGTCACGAGATCTTTGTTGAGCACCTACAGGGCTGGGTACCCCTACACTCAGGGCTCCTCCATAAGGGATGCCCCTTGTTCCCATTTCACAGATGGCAACGCTGAACTTCGGGGTTCTTTTTAGGCCTCAAGGGTGTGGGCAAGCAGGTGTTCCAGAGGTACCTTCCAGAATCTTCTGGGAGAAACAGCTCTAGACTGTTGAGTGCCTACCTGAAAGGAAGGCCTTGTAGGATGTTGGTGGTCTGAGGCCCCTGTGCCAGGCCCCAAGCCCAGCTCCAGGTCTGCTGCAGAGAGGGGCAGGACCCTCCTGAAACAGCAGGTGTCCTTCCGCGGACAGGGACGGAGAGGCCCACTACTGCCCCAGCCACTGGCTGCCACCAAAGGTCCTCCTCTCCCCACTCCCGGGGCCTGTGCTGAGACGCCCTCATCTGCTTGAGAGTCCAGGCACCAGGCCCAGGCTCTGGGACACCACAAGCCCAGGGGACGGGCCACAGAGTGGCTTTCTTTAGTTTATTTCTATGCGGGATGAGAATGGAACCCAGGGCCTCCCTCAGGCCAGGCCAGTGCTCCACCACTGGGCTACGACCTCAGCCACCACAGAGCGGTCTTCTAGGCCGGGTGGGGTCGTGACCAATTAGGAAGGGTCTCATGAACACCTGTGTGCCATCTCCCATGTCCAGGTGGGACCCAGAGAAGGCCACATGTAGAGCCAGCATCACAAGCCAGGACCGGTCCTCAGGTGTCCCATGGCTCAGCCAGCTCTGGCTGAGCAGCATGACTCGGTTTCCCAGCAGGAACGAGAGAGAAGGAGGCCAGGGAGGAGAGGAGGCCGGGGAGAGGACTCTCCTAGGAAGACCTGCTTCCAGAGAATGCTTCACATCCCCTCAGCCCACTCCCGGCTCCAGGCTGGCTTTTGCAGATGCAGAGCAACCCAGAGTCCGCCGTGAGAACCGAACTACGGTCCCTTCAAACTACAGAGAGGGCTGGGCCTGGGGCTGGGGCTGGAGCTGGGTCTGGGTCTGGGGATGGGATGGGGCTAGGGATGGGTCTGGGTCTGGGTCTGGGTCTGGGGCTGAGGCTGGGTCTGGGTCTGGGCCTGGGGCTGAGGCTGGGGCTGGGGCTGAGGGTGGGGCTGGGGCTGGGGCTGAGGCTGAGGCTGGGGATGGGGCTGGCGGTGAGCACTTGCCCGGCATGTGTGAGGCACTGGGTTCATTCTCAGCACCACATAAAAAGAGATAAAATAAAGCTCTATCAACTAGTAATAAAAAAAAAAAAAAAAAAAACCACAACTACAGAGAGTGTCCACAGGACCCAGCCAGCCCACTTCCGGAAACACCCCAAAGAATTGGAAGCTGGGGTGCGCGGCTAATTGCACACTTCGCACCAGCACTGCTTACAACAGGTAGCGAGACCCAAGCGCCCACTGAGGGGGATGAGCAAAAGCCACGCCCACACAGCACAGGACCCCGCAGCTGCAACCTGCGCCAGGGTGAACCTCTCAGAAGTCACACCAAGGGAGGTGCCAAGCACTAGGGACAAACACTGTTTGGTTCCACTTATTGGAGCCCCCTAGTGTGGCCTGATTCATAGAAAGTAGAGCGGCCCAGGGACCCGGGGCGGGGAGGCAGAGGTTACCTGTTGGGTGTGGAGTGACCGTCTGGGAAGACGTAAGAGTTCTAGGGGTGGAAGGTGGGGACCACTGCACGGCAGTGTGAACGTCCCTGACGCCAAGGATCTGTGCCGCGCTAATGGTTAACCTGGTAAAGCCTGGGCTAGACATATTTTATCACCACTAAAAAAGTTGAAAGCAAGTCTGCCTGTCTCCCAAATTCAGTGGTGCCTCAGGCCCTCCCTTGGCCCTGCAGGCCCATGGCTAGCCACCATATCACCCTGTTGGATTTGGTGGCCCACCCCAGGGCCCCAGCTCGCCCTGGCCACCCCAGGCTCAGACTGCAAGCAGCGCAGCAGCATCCTGGATGTCTGAAAAGTGGACCCGCGGGGGATCTGCCCGGTCCCTCCTGCAGCAGGCTGGGGCCTCACTGGCCAGGGTCTCAGTTCTGCCGCCTCCAGGGCCTTTGTTGATTTTCCCAGTGTGTCCCGTCCTGGTTTCCGCCCTGCCCACAGGAGGGAATGCTTCAGAGAAACCCTGGTGATGAGCGTGGGTTCTTTTGTTGTAAGTCACTGCTAAGGCGGCAAACGAGGGTTTATTTTCCTAACGTGCTTGGCATAGCTCAGCGCCCGCACAGCCCTCAGCGTTTGATTTGGGAGGAACTCGAGACCCTGGTTTGTTCTGAGTCACGGGTGAAGCCACAGCCTCCCCGGCCAGCCCGAGGCAAAGACGGGTCTTGGGAAGTCATTGGCAGGAATGAGCGGTACTACTTGTGGCTTGAGGAAACAAAAGATTTTTAAAAACTTTTCAGAATTTCGAACCTGCTAACTCAGCAGGTTGAAAACCTACCAGATTTCCAGCCCATTCGTCTCCCTACTAATCCCAACTTTTCTAGGAGGAATTGTGGCTTCTTTCTTGGCCAGTCTTTCTCTTTGGACCTGGAGAGAACCCAGAAGCCACAGGAAAACACACTTCCCAGCAGGTAGGAGGCCTCAGGAGGGCCCAGGATGGGCCAATGTCAGCCACAGCCCACGTGTGCTGCCCCGGGGTCTGGAGTCCTGGCACCCCCAGCCCTGGATGCCCACTTTCATAGGGTCCAGTGGTGCATGCTGTGCTCACCAGGAGAAAGGTCCCCCGCCTTCGGATCCCTCAGGTCGTGGGAATCCCTGACAGATGGCAGTGGGAAGAGCCACATGACCAGAGATGAACAGAGAGCTGTCCCTGTCCCCTCCCTTCACTTGGGTCTGCAGACCTGGACTCACCGCTGCCGCCTCACAGTCCCAGGGCAGATCTGGGTGTGGCTCCTGAGGCAGAGGCCAGCTGGTGAGCAACTCCTTGAGCCTGGCCCAGACTGTCCCAACTGACCCCACAGGGACCCGGCATGTCCTCGACCCCTCAAGACACCCCCAGTGTGCAGGAAGCCCCTCCTCAGGAGGTCTCATAGGCTCTTGGGGAAGGTGGTCAGGCCCCAGGGGGCTGCTGAGGACTCCCACCATGGACCCAGCTGCCCAGCAGCTCAGTGGTCCTATCCAGGTGCTCACATCCCCAGAGGACAGCAGCCATCTGGATGCCCGGGAGAATTCCCCTGGGAGACCTTGAGGGCCCCACCTGGGAAAGGCCCGGCCTCCTGCCCAGACCCTGCCACCATCCCTCCTCTCCTCCCTTCTTCCTTCCCTCCCACCCCTGGTAAAACCAGGCCCTGCTCTCCTCTCTGAGGGGAGCCAGCCAGAGCCCCCGGGGGTCCACCAATGTCCTGGGGCTGTCATGGCCTTCCCCACCTGAGCCCGCTTTACTCCTGGCCCAAACTGGACCGTTTGCCTCCACCTTCTCATCAGGGGTCTAAACCCCAAGCCCAGAAGGTAGAGGGAGCAGCCAGGCCTGTGCCTGGGGGGAGGGGGGAAGACACCCTGTGGGGCAGCCAGTGGCCCCTCCTCACCAGGCTGGCAGGGGCAGGGTGCCCTTGGAAGGTGCTCTGTGGAAGGCAGCAGGATGCTGTCCGAAGGACACACGTGCTCCCAGATGGGGTTTCAGACTAGGCTGAAGTCACCTCCACTGTCCCTGTCCCCCTCTTATGGGAGAATGAGGCTCCCACCAGCCTGGGCACCCCTGGAACCAAGAGGCTGGTGTAGGAACTGGGGTCCCAGAGGTGGGCGGGAAGGTAGGCAGACCCTGTGGGGGACTAGAACAAAGCCAGGTGGCTCAGAGCCCCCAGCAGGCCAGCCCACCCCCAGGGCTAGGGCAGGGCAGGCCGGGTGAGCTGTGGGCAATCTGCCTTGCCTCCAGGGAACCGTCCTGCTGGGACGGCTGCTGCTTTATCCTCATCTCCTGCTCTCCCCACCCCCACCCCTTCTTACCAAGGACTGGGACTCTGTGATCCTGTGTGACTTTTTGAAAAAAGCCACTTGGGTGGATTGTTTGTTTTTAAAGCCCCTTCCTGATGACCTTTAACCTCTGCAGGGGAAGAGAGGCCCGGCTGGCTCTTTAGGGCTGAGCCCTTCCACCCAGGACGCGATCCTGGGCACACTGCAGGGTGGGGGCACACAGGCGTCAACACCCAGGAACCCTCTGCGGCAGTAGTTGGCGGGCACGGGGGACAGTTGGAAACCCAGCTGCCCCACCCCGATGCTCTGCCCCTCCAAGGCCTCGTCTTCCAGCAGTAACATGGCACCGACTGAATCGCACCCACTTCCCAGGAGGCACGGGCTGCCTCCAGGGCCGGGCGCCAGGGCAGCCCCTTCCCCGAAGTCGCACACCCACGACTTTAGGCGGCTCCAGCCGAAGGTCCCTTGCCCTAGTCCAGAGCTCCAGTCAGCGGCAGCCCGCCCCGGCTGCGGCGTGTCCCGCGCCCCAGGGTCGCAGCGCCGCCTCCCTCCAGCGCCGCACTCCGCCCGGGCCGGTCCCGCGGTCCCCACGCCCTCGGCGGCCCCGGCCCGCGCCACTCACCGTCCTGCGGCGCCGCCTCGCTGCCGCTGCTGCCCCCGGACGGCTCCCGCGCCGCGCCCTCGCGCGCTTCGGCCCTGGCCGCGGGCCGCGCCGCCAGCCGCCCGGCCGCCACCTCCTCCAGGTCCAGGAGGTGGCTCACCGTGAAGTTCTTGCGCGCCTGGGCGCAGTCGCCGGGCCCCAGCGCGGGCGGCGGCGGTCCCGGGCCCAGCGCCGGCTTGTCCAGCGCGAAGGCGGCGGCGGCCGCGCTGTCCATGCCGCGGGCGGCCCGGGGCGCGGGGCCCCGGCGGAGACGGGCGCGGGTGGAGCGGCGCCCGGTCCGCCCGCTCTGCCGTCCCGCCGCCGCCTCCCCGGCCGGCGCTGACGTACGTCGGGGCACGGACCGTCCGCCCTCCCCTCGCCGCCGCCGGCCGCTCGCGCCCAAGTCGCCGGACGGGCTGCGCCCGCCACACGCCCCTCTTGAGGCAGACCTCGCCCCTTCCTCCCTCCCCTCGCCCCACCCGGCCGCCGGGAGGGTCCGTCGCTGAGCCGGCTGGAGGCGGGGCCCGGAGCCCCGAGCGCCGCCCCCACCCCCACCCCCCACCACGTCTGGGGAGCCGCGGGGTCGCTTCTTTGAACCCCGCACGAGGGGCCCGGGGGGGGGTCAGAGAGGACAGACTGGCACCCCCCTTCCAAGCTCCTCCGCAGGTGCAGGGGGCGACTCTGAGACGGGTGACAGGGAAGATGTCCCAATTGCCAGCTCCACCCCCACTGCCCCCAGCGCTGCCCCGCCCGACGGAAAGAATCCAAGGTCCACTTGGACCACCTTGTTCGCTCCGCCCAGCCCCGAGATTCCCTCCCCCAGAAAGCTGGGATGTTGGCTGTGCCCACTGCTCCTGTTTCCCACCGGATGATACCCCAAGGAAAGCCGAGCTAGGAGCAAAGCGGTTCCCTTCAGAATTCCTAGTGTACACACAGGGGATAGGCAGCCAGAGAGCCAGACCGACAGATGGGTGACAGGGAGAGAGGGGCCGGCTTGGGTCTCAGCTCTCGTTTTTGTTTTCTAAGGAGAGCCCAGAAAAGACCCGCGGAGGGAGCAGAGGGAGACGCTGAGCTCTCTGGCTGACACTGGTCCTACCCCAGGACTGCTGCTCACCGTCCTGTCCCTCAGTCCTTATCCCCAGAAAAAAATAACCCTCCAAGAGCCTTTCGGAATGTCCTCTCTGGGCTCCCCGCAGAAAACAGGCCCTGCACACACATCCCCAGACCCGCCGGCAGCCTGGTTCTGTAGCATATGAATCACCCCCAGGATGAGGCTGAGTGGCCCCCAAAGGACTTCCGTCCTCCCGCCAGCCAGGCCAGGGTAGGCTGTGGGCCTGGAGATGGTGGGGCTCTTTGTCCTTGGAAATCTGCCCCAAGCAGTGCCCAGTGAGAAGGCTGGCAAGGAGGTGGCCACCTGCCTTCTCCCAGGGCACTGGCAGGGGCCCAGCCGACGCCAGGGCTTCCCAGCTCTACCCAGTGTGTGTGGCTGGACGACTTTCTGAGAGACTGAGTCGCGTGGAGCCCTGAAGAATGTTTGGAGGGGAGGCCTGGCTGGAGCACCCAGAAAGCCCACAGAATGGGGGGTCTCATCCCAGGACAGTGCAGGGCCCCCAAGTGGGGCTTTCCCAGGGTCAGAACAGTTTTGTGTCAGAGACCAGATTCCAGCCCAGTGTACTAGGCACGGTGTACTGCTGTGTGCCTTTAAATGGGACACCAGCCCTCTCTGAGCCCAGCTCCTGCCCTGCAGATCAGGCCACATTAAAAACCTATGGGCACAGCTGGGCGCCATGGCACACAGCTGTAATCCCAGCAGCTCGGGAGGCTGAGGCAGGAGGTTGCGGGTTCAAAGCCAGCCTCAGCAAAAGCAAAGTGCTAGGCAACTCAGTGAGACCCTGTCTCTAAATAAAATACAAATTAGGGCTGGGGATGTGGCTCAGTGGTCGAGTGACCCTGGGCTCAATCCCTGGTACCCGAAAAAGCAAAACAAAACAAAGAAAACCTATGGGCATTGTGGGGATGCTGCTGCAGGTGAAATTCTGGGCTCATGGCCTACAACATGGGGGAGCAGCCCACATCAGCCAGGGGTGCCGGAAGGGCCTGAGACACCATCTTGGTCCAATTTCCTTGTGTGACAGATGGGAAACTGAGGCAGCAAAGGCAAAGGCTGCTTCCAGAGCTGGAAGAAGCACCAGGATTGTCTGAGCTGTTTTGTTTTACAGATGAATACAGCGAGGCTCAGCAGAGAAGGGCCATGTTAAAGTGTCTTGGTGGGACTGGGGTCCACGGTGGCTTCCTGCCTCCACTTACCTGCCCGTGGCCTGTGCGTGTTGAGAGGTGACGTCCGTATCTCCCGGGGACGGTGCTGCTCGGGCGGCAGCACTCGGTTCAAATCGGGACCTTGCTGTGGACCTTTAGCAATTTACTTAGCCTCTTTCTCCGTTTCAACTACAAAAGGAGCTGTTAGGGTCCAGGTACCAACCTGAGTTGATGGAGGCGCCACACTCAGGTGTATTTAGTGAGCACTCGGCAAGTGCTGGGGACGGAAGCCAGGGCCTCTCACATGCTGCCACTGAGCCGCACCTGAGCCCCACGACGATTATTTTTGGAACATCTACTCCAAGAAGTAGAGCAGGGCGTTCCAGCCTCACCCTCTGGAGCTGGGGAGATTTGGGTTTGAATCAGTTCACTGCCATTCCCTAGCTGTGTGGCCTTGGATAGGTCATCTTCTCGCCTTCCCTGAGTCGGCTCCATCGTGGGTGAAGTCGGGGTGCAAAAGGAGCCAGGCCAATGGCGCTGAGGCTGAGCCGTCACTACCTTGCCGATCCTTGGAGGAGGGCAGGGTGGTACAGGATGGCAGGGAGGGGCAAGGCTGCAGCTGTAGTCACAAAGCTCAGCCCTTGAGCAAGAGTTTCAGACCCTGATTCAGCCTGGAAATATACCTAAGGCAATGTCATTTAAACAGGGAGGTGAGAACTCAGGGACACAGGGCCTAAGGGATAGGCCTAACAAATAACTAATTTCTGTAGAGGTGTGGATGCAGCTAAGATGCTCACCCAGAGTCAGGGATGGAGGCCAACGGGAGCCCAGTTTTTGGTTACTGATCCTGGCACCACTCTGGGCAGCAGGGATGGGGAAATAGAAGGGGGGCCAAGAGGGATCCTGCTCTGGTTAGCTGCTGCTCCCTGGAGGCTGGGTCCTGGGTCTCATCTTGAAAGAAAATGCTGACTTGCCTTCATCTCAAAAGTTTATGTGTTAAAAACATTTTGTTGTTGTTACAGAAGTAATATCACTGAGATTTTAAAAAGCATAGGTAAACTTAGGAAAACAAAAATACTAGTATCTCACTCCCAGAGATTCTTGACACACAGCAGACATTCAAGACATTTTAAAAAGTTGGTGTGCTGGGCGGGTGGTGCACACCTGTAATCCCAGTAGCTCTGGAGGCTGAGACAGGAGGATCAGGAGTTCAAAGCCAGCCTCAGCAATAGTGAGGCGCTAAGCAACTCAGGGAGACCCTGTCTCTAAATAAAATACAAAATAGGGCTGCAGATGTGGCTCAGTGGTCGAGTGCCCCTGAGTTCAATCCCCGGTACCAGGAAAAAAAAAAAAAGTTGGTGTAATGAAAGAAATTAGAAACAATTATCCTATTTATTCAATATTGAATTGGAGGCCTAGAAAAAGCAATAAGACAAGAAAAAGGAATGACCTAAAATAATTTTTATTTAATCTCTCTCTAGTTAGAGAGATGGAGAAACACAGTATATGTCATAAAAGTAGAAGTACATCATACCAACCATTTTGTAACCTGCTTTCTGTATCTTTAAATAATCTTGTTCACCATTATTTTTAATGAAAGCCTAGGAATACATTATTCCCTATTGTTATGCATCAACAGTTGTTTTCTTAAGAATAAATACCTAGAAATAGACTATGTGGATGTGATAGACAAAGGATGACCTTCCAAAGATGTTGACATCAGAATCTCTAGACCCTGGAAATGGGTCAAAGCAGATGAATTAAGGTTGTGATTAGTTGACCCTGAAATAAGGAGGTTATTCTGGATTATCCAGCTGGACCCAATGCCTTTTTTTTGGTACCAGAGATTGAACCCAGGGTGCTTTACCATTGAGCCACATCTCTAGCTCTTTTTATTTTTTATTTAGAGCCAGGGTCTTACTGAGTTGTTAGGGCCTCACTAAGTTCCTGAGGCTGGCTTTGAACTCACCAGCCTCCTGCCACAGCTTCCTGAGCTTCTGCAATTACGGATGTGCACCACCTCGCCTAGCCCAATGTTATCTTAAAAGCCAACAATCAAGGCAGGCATCCTCTAGGAACTGGGGAAGCAGGAAAAAGCATTCTCCTCTGCCTTCTCCAGAAGGTCCTACCCCAGAGCCTCCTCTGGCACCCTGATTTTCACCCAGGACCTCTCGCGTCCAGAACTGTAAGGTAATAAACGTATATTGTCAAAAGACAGAGGCGTGCAGCCCAGCACTCGCCTACCATGCATGAGGCCCAAGTTTGTGTGACAAGATGCTACAGCAACAAGTAGAAAATCCGCACACGGGGTCAAAGATTCTGCAAGAAAATTTAAGACTTTGGGCTCTTTTTCCATATTGCCTCCAAAAAGGTTGCACCCGTGTCCGTTCCTGAGGGCTTCTCGGGTTCCTTGCTGGCATGAGCTGTTGTAATCATTCCCCTTGAATTTCATAGGGCATTTCTGTGTTCCAATCTGTGCATCCTGAACTATTGCTGAAGGTGTCTTTGGTACAGAATGGCCACTTGCTTTTCTTATTGGTGAAGTGTCTGTTTACAGGCTAACCTGGGACAGTTCTGTTTCTGTCCTGCACTGAGCTATATCAGCGTCTTCTGTAGCCCTTGCACCTCCGAGTGACCATCAGTCAGTCACTCAAGGCCCGGGCCCCTGTCACAGACAGACAGACAGATGGAGACAAGGACAAGATGGATTCCCGCAGCCCGGGCTCACCTGACCCCACGCGAGGGGCTGTCTGGAGGAGGCCGTGGGGCAGGGACGGCACACAAAGGTCCTGGTGAGACCGTGGTCACTGCTGCGCGTCTGGGGGATCATAAACACCACAGGCAGATGTAACTCAGACGTGACCAGGCGTGACCGTGACAGATCACAGCATTCTGTAAATATTGTGTCAGGCTGTGATCACAGCGGGCTCCCTGGTCACCCCAGGCCCTGGCCAGCCCTGTGGGAAGCAGAGCAGAGCC